CATTATACTGACATGTCGTTATAACAGAATAAATTCTATAATTCTAAAAAAAGTTGACAAATTATGTCATTATACTAATATAACGAGATAAATAATAGGTGTCATTTAATTTCGTCACGCGTAATTGATTTCGTCACCCGTAATTGATTTCGTAATTACGTATTACGTATTACGTTTTTGGCAAAGTAATTACCATCCCATGTATACTCCCCACTTCTTGTTATTGGCAACCTCCAAAACATCTAAGGCAAATGCCTTAGCTGATTCTCCTTCCATCAGGATTAGTGTTGATTCAGCAACTAATCCTGGTACGCTACAAGTAAATAAATAAATAATGTTAAAATGAATAAAATGAACAAATTTTGACTGATCCCAATCTCTAAACTAGAATAGCTCTCAAAACAATAAATAATACTTACGTTGAGGTTGTTTTATTCGAATTATTTGAATTATTCATTTTATTTCAAAGGAATTATTCGTTTTATTCAAATTTTTGTTTTATTCGTTTTATTCGTTTATTCGAATTATTCATTTTATTTGTTTTATTTGATTCATTCATTTTGTTTGATTCATTTGTTTTGTTTGTTTTATTTGTTTATTTGAATGGAAATCCTAAGGATGTTCTATTTTTTCAATCATATATAAAATTCATCATCTCCACAAACTTTTAAACTCTTATTGTACTTCTCTTCTATTTGTGTGATACATTCTTGACATGAATACTCATTTTCCCTTTAATTCTATAGATTTTTTGATTCTACAATTGACATTGGGAACTAGCTGTTGACTCAGTTGTAAATGTTGGTGTTGGTGTTGATGGAACTATTTGGGCTATAATGATGAAGATAACATTTTTGCATGGAATGGTAGGTAACCATTTCTCTTGCCATCCATCTTTCTTAGAGGTTGGAATCGACTAATTAGTCGACTATTTTAGTCAATTATTTAGTCGACTAATTATAATTATTGTCTGGCCAATTATAAATGAAAACGTTTTTTGTGGTACAAAAAAATTTAATAAAAATAAATATGCGGAGTATCAATATTATGAAGAAGATGATAATGGTGGTGTTGGTGCTGGTGTTGGCGATA